ATCTCTACCTTTATTATTTAATGAAGAAACATCATCAGGGTTAATAGCTAAAGCTTTGTCAAACCAAGTGATCGCATCCTCATATTTATTTTTTTTAATTAGACATAAGCCTATTTATATTATTCGAATTCAAATTACCTTTATTTTTTAAGGAAGAAATATCCAAAGGATCAATAGAGAGGGCTTTGTCAAAATACGTCATTGCATTATTATATTGTTTTAATTTAATTAAACAGACACCTAAGCTTCTATTTTGAATTCAACCTTTATTATTTATGGAAGTCATATTCTTAGGGTCAATTGCTAATACTTTATCTAAAAATGCGATAGCATTCTCATAAAAATTTAATTTCATTAAACATACACCTAGATTTATTATTAAGATTCAAACCTTTATTATTAATTGAAGAAACATTCTTAGGGTCAATAGCTAGTGCTTTGTCGAAAAACGTAATTGCATCCTCAAACAAATTTAATTTAATTAAACATAATCCTATATAATTAGGATTAAATCTACCTTTATTGCGTACAGAAATTATCTCCTTAGGATCAATAACTAATGCTCCATCGAACCAAGCGATTGCGTCCTCATATTTATTTAATAATCTTAAGCATTCACCTGTTTATATTTAAGATTCAACTACCTTTGTTATTTAATGAAGAAACATCTGAAGGATTAATAGCCAAAGCTTTGTCAAACCAATTTATTGCCTCTTCAAATTTATTTAATTTAATTAAACATAAACCTATTGGTACAAAAGAACTCAAATTACCTTTGTTTTTTAGGCATGATATATCCATACAATCCATAGCGAGCGCATTGTTGAAACAAGGGATTGCATCACGATATTTATTTAAAAACATTAAAGTTACACCTATTATGTGTTTGAGATTCAATTACCTTTATTAGATAATGAAGAAACATATTAAGGATCTATAGCTAAAGCTTTGTCCAAACAATTTATTGCATCCTTATACTTTTGTAATTTAATTAAACATTCACCTGTTTATATATTTAAGATTCAAACTACCTTTGTAATTTAATGAAGAAACACTATTTTGATCAATAGTGAGTGCTTTTTCGAAAAAAGTAATGGCAGCCTCATATTGATTTAATTTAATTAAACATTCACCTATTATTTAATTGTCATTAAATCTACCTTTATTACTTAAGAAAGCAGCTTCATTAGGATTAATAGCTAAAGCTTTGTCCAACCAAGTAATTGCATCCTCGTATTATTTTAATTTAATTAAACAACAACCTGTTTATATAATTAAGATTCAACTAACCTTTGTAATTTAAAGCTTAATCATCGTTATCCTTTATTGTTAACGCTTTGTCCAACCAAGTGATTTCATTTTTGTATTGTTTGAATTGAATTAAGCATTCACCTATATAATTATAATTTAACCAACCTTTACTTCTTAAGGCTAGACTTATTTTAGGGTTGATAGCTAGCGCTTTATCAAACCAAATGTTTGCATTCTCAAATTCATTTAAAGACAATAAACATAAGCCTTATACAAAAATTTCAATCTACCTTTATTTGCGATAGAAAAAGCTTCCTTTGGATCAATGGCGATTACTTTTTCAAACCAGATCATAGCTTCCTCAAATTTCTTTAGACAATATAAACAAACACCTATTATATCATTAAGATTCAATCAACCTCTTCCATTTAAGATATCTTTTTGTTAAGGATAATTAGCTATAGCTTTAACGTACCAAATGATTGCATCCTGATATTGTTTTAAATTCTCTAAACAATATGCTATAAATATCTATATTATTCACCCTTTATCATTTATTTGAATGGCTTCTTCGTATTTCTTTTACTCAGCTAATTAAACACCTAAGGATTATAATAATATATTACCTTAACGCTGTAGTTTAAGTGATTCTCCTTTAGAAAAAAAATCTATCTCATAATAGTTAAATGTAGTTAATTATAATTTTTCATATAAAGTATTAAATGCATTAGTTAATTTCTGAGTTAATTGTGAAACAATATTTTTAATTGAGTATTTGTATTCAATAAAACCAACTGCAGATTTCAAATAATCATTTATTTATTACAAGGTGGAATTTTTTACTACTTCCTCTCTTATTAAATATTTTAATTAAATTCCACTTATTAATTAAGAAAATGATTAATTCATAATCTCCACAAAAGTTTTAAGATCACTAATAAAATTTTAACATTCTTTATTTTATCTCTTATGAATCCAACCAAGCTGTTGATTCTTTAAACATCATTAAAATGATCTTGATGGATTCTTTCCTCACATTTAGAGAAATTCAATCTGAAGTCTGTGCACTACTAGTTATAACAAATGGTTTCTATCTACTCATTATGATCTTCTTATTAACATTTTTTCAGCTAATACCCTGACTATCCCATATTTATTTTAAATATTATTCTAGATTTATTTTACTTTTTGATTCTTTTGTAACTAATAACAAATATTGAACTTCAAATACAATTTAAGCTATTTGTTATCAGACATCGCAAAGACACTGCTATAAATTTATTTTTCTGCTAATAATAATAATAGTATTAAAATTAGTGGTGATAAGAAAATTGTTTTTAAAATTAAAAACTGATTAAGAATGCTTTGCATAAATCATAAAAACTTGCAATCGATCTACATCAATTAAGCAAATGAAGTATGGTGATAATTTAAACAATCATTTTTATATATAATGAGAAGTTAATGTACTAATAATTGTAGTTTAATTAGAATTAAATTAAAATATAAAAGGAAATTGATTTAATAATTTAAAGTTCAATATAAGCTTATAGTTGAATAAATAATTTACAATATTAATTTACATATTAAAATTGAATCCACTTCCTCCATCAGAAGATGATTTTTGTTACTATTTCTAATTTTTAACTACTTATGAAGTGTAAAGGTTCGTTAAGGATTAGAAACGACATATATAATATTTTCTAATTTTTTAAGGAAGAAATATCCAAAGGATCAATAGCGAGGGCTTTGTCAAAATACGTCATTGCATTATTATATTGTTTTATTTTAATTAAACACACACCTAAGCTTCTATTTTGAATTCAACCTTTATTATTTATGGAAGTCATATTCTTAGGGTCAATAGCTAGTGCTTTGTCGAAAAACGTAATTGCATCCTCAAACAAATTTAATTATATATAAAACAACAATATTAAGTTAATAAACAAATCCTATATAATTAGGATTAAATCTACCTTTATTGCGTACAGAAATTATCTCCTTAGAATCAATAACTAATGCTCCATCGAACCAAGCGATTGCGTCCTCATATTTATTTAATAATTCTTAAACATTCACCTGTTTATATTTAAGATTCAACTACCTTTGTTATTTAATGAAGAAACATCTGAAGGATTAATAGCTAAAGCTTTGTCAAACCAATTTATTGCCTCTTCAAATTTATTTAATTTAATTAAACATAAACCTATTGGTACAAAAGAACTCAAATTACCTTTGTTTTTTAGGCATGATATATCCATATAATCCATAGCGAGCGCATTGTTGAAATAAGGGATTGCATCACGATATTTATTTAAAAACATTAAAGTTACGCCTATTATGTGTTTGAGATTCAATTACCTTTATTAGATAATGAAGAAACATATTAAGGATCTATAGCTAAAAGCTTTGTCCAAACAATTTATTGCATCCTTATACTTTTGTAATTTAATTAAACATTCACCTGTTTATATATTTAAGATTCAAACTACCTTTGTAATTTAATGAAGAAACACTATTTTGATCAATAGTGAGTGCTTTTTCGAAAAAAGTAATGGCAGCCTCATATTGATTTAATTTAATTAAACATTCACCTATTATTTAATTGTCATTAAATCTACCTTTATTACTTAAGAAAGCAGCTTCATTAGGATTAATAGCTAAAGCTTTGTCCAACCAAGTAATTGCATCCTCGTATTATTTTAATTTAATTAAACAACAACCTGTTTATATAATTAAGATTCAACTAACCTTTGTAATTTAAAGCCTAATCATCGTTATCCTTTATTGCTAACGCTTTGTCCAACCAAGTGATTGCATTTTTGTATTGTTTGAATTGAATTAAACATTCACCTATATAATTATAATTTAACCAACCTTTACTTCTTAAGGCTAAACTTATTTAAGGGTTGATAGCTAGCGCTTTATCAAACCAAATGTTTGCATTCTCAAATTCATTTAAAGACAATAAACATAAGCCTTATACAAAAATTTCAATTTACCTTTATTTGCGATAGAAAAAGCGTCCTTTGGATCAATGGCGATTACTTTTTCAAACCAGATCATAGCTTCCTCAAATTTCTTTAGCCAATATAAACATACACCTATTATATCATTAAGATTCAATCAACCTCTTCCATTTAAGATATATTTTTGTTAAGGATAATTAGCTATAGCTTTATCGTACCAAATGATTGCATCCTGATATTTTTTTAAATTCTCTAAACAATATGCTATAAATATCTATATTATTCACCCTTTATCATAAAAGAAATAGCATCTTTAGGATCGTATTTTAATGAAAAATCATTTATTTGAATGGCTTCTTCGTATTTCTTTTACTCAGCTAATTAAACACCTAAGGATTATAATAATATATTACCTTAACGCTATAGTTTAAGTGATTCTCCTTTAGAAATAAAATCTATCTCATAATAGTTAAATGTAGTTAATTATAATTTTTCATATAAAGTATTAAATGCATTAGTTAATTTCTGAGTTAATTGTGAAACAACATTTTTAATTGAGTATTTGTATTCAATAAAACCAATTGCAGATTTCAAATAATCATTTATTTATTACAAGGTGGAATTTTTTACTACTTCCTCTCTTATTAAATATTTTAATTAAATTCCACTTATTAATTAAGAAAATGATTAATTCATAATCTCCACAAAAGTTTTAAGATCACTAATAAAATTTTAACATTCT